TATATATATATATATATATATATATATATATATATATATATATATATATATATATATTATAATACAAATAATGTGACTTCCTATAATTATCATTAATTCATCTAATTGCGGAAACAAGGATAATTTTATAAAATAGTTTATATAAACTAGTACGCAATTAGACATATAGTATTCTACAATTTATTAACGTACCATATAACAATTGTACAAGTCCAACTAGAACCAAAGAATATGTATCGAAAGATTGTAATGTAAGAACAGTATTAATTTGTTTTTATGCTAAATATTGTAATTTATTTATATAGCCAAATAAAATTTTTCTATCGGAAAAGAGGCATGTGTTCCTTTCGATGAAATATTTGTTACAACTTGGACGATTAATAATGGAACTCTTTATAAATGGAAGCTTCAAATTTATCTCTTGTTTCAGATAACTCTCAAAGAATGACGGTGATTTTCCACACTTTGGACACGTTCAACACAGAATTTTCGGCGGACTCTGTCGAATGGTGTCCCGTAGAGCCGTTTCGGGATGTGGTAGTATGCGGAACGTATCAGTTGACCAAGAGCAGCGAGAACGTGGTAACAAGGAGTAACGATGTGTCGAAACGACTTGGGAGGGTTTACATTTTCCGTATAGCGGATGGCGGAAAATTAACGATGTTACAACGAATAGACGTCCCGGCTGTATTGGACATGAAGTGGCTGCATTGCCGAGACAAGGAGAACAGAATACTTCTCTCAATTGTAAATTCCATCGGATATCTGCAAGTGTATCAATTTGAGGGCGATCGAGACGCTGAAACGTTAAGATTAATTGTGGAGCAAAAGATCAGCGATAACGACAACGAAATGTTGGCGCTATCCTTGGACTGGTCCACAGGAAGATGCGTCTCGCATACTTGTATCTCTGATAATCCGCATATCGTCGTCAGCGACTCTCGAGGATGGATATCACGTTTCACATTGCATAGGAATGACTTAACAAGAGACTTATCGTGGCGCGCGCACGACTTCGAGACATGGATCACAGCGTTCGACTATTGGCAGACAAATTCCTTTTACTCTGGTACAAATATATGTAGTTCACAATTATACAAGAAACATTTACACCAGTCTCGTTTAATTTGTCTATTCTTTTCAGGCTGTAGTAAGTGAAAGTCACTCATAAAAATGCACGATCATAGTATCGTCAAATTTCAGGAGGCGATGATTGCAAGTTTCAAGTCTTTGACAGTAGAACAGGGCCTGATCCTGTAGCATGTATCAGAACACACAGTGCCGGTGTGACCAGCATCCACAGCAACGCCAACGCAGAATTTTCGCTCGCAACCGGAAGGTAAAACACCACTCGAACACAAGTCTAAAGTCTGTATTAATAGTCGTTAGTTAAAACTTATCTCAAGTAAGATATTTATTAGATAGTAAGATTATTCGGTATGAATTCAGAGTTAAATGTAAGCTTCTCAGTCGAATCATGATTATACAAATAATATCACATGTAACGATTCATCTGAAAATCTCAGATGTAAATCAGAGTATTTCACAAGTTTCAAGTAACGACTCTATTAAGATAAAAAGTATTATAATTCCCGAATATTTACCTAATCCTGCACATTCTTATTTGTTTTGGTCTTTAAATACAAATATTTAAATCTTTATTTAAATACTTAACATGAAATATATGTATATACTTAATACTTGTGTATATATTTATGTTGAAAATTTAAATATTTATATTTAAATATCGAAACACACAAACAAAAAAAATGTTAAGTACGTGTCCGAGTATTGGTACTTTTACCTTAATACAAGTCTTAAAGCCAATCTCCTAATCTGTTGATAAGCTAACTAACAGTTAAATCACGTATCATTATTTTCCTTCAAATTAGACAAAGATATATACTTTAATTTAATGAGTTTATAAAATAATTTGGAAAAATGAGCTTTTAGACTTATATTAATAGTCGTTACTTGAAAACTCTAATGAAATATTCATATTTGAATTTAAAGTTAGATGTGAGTTTTCTAATGGAATCGCAATTGCAAATACAATGTAATATTTATCATATGATTCAACAGAAAAATTCAGATTTAAAACTGAATTCATATCTGAGCATTTCACTTAAAATTTACCTCAGATAAGGTATTCAGATGTAAATTTAAAGTTAGATATAAATTTTTTAACTGAATCACTTACAAATGCAATGTCATGATGTCGTATGATTCAAATAAGAAATTAAAATCTAACTCTAAATACAAATCGGAGTATCTCATGCTGGGCAAGTTTCAAGTAACGACTATTAATACAAATCTTAAGCCTATATTATTTGAGACACTCTGATATTAATTGCATATTAGAACTGAGTTTTTCAATTAAGTCATTATTATAGATATATAGATATAGATATACAGATATAGTATTATATATACCATACGATTCAATTAAAGAACTTAACTCTCAATTAAAATATAACTACTGTATTTTACAAAAAAAAACTAGTTCCAAGTAACAACTATTAATAGCGAGTTCGGTTGCTTGTCCTAGTGTGTACTGAGTGTGTGCTAAGGCTTGGTTACAATACATTCTTATATTTAAAATCATGTCTTAAATACATATTTAAAAGCATTTTAGCTAATAGAATGATTCGGATGTTGTATATATCATATTACTGGTTAAAAATATTTGAGAATTTATTTAAGACAATCTTTAAATATAATAACATACTATGAACAAGCTTAGTGCGCACTAGTGTAAGCAACCGAATTCGCTATAAGAAACTGCACTATTTCTAATTCCGATCCATAAATCTTTTAACCGAATGTTTCAGTTACGACGAAATTCTAAGATTGTGGGATAAGAGGAACTTCAAACGATCGATGTCTGAGATTGATCTGCGCGGCGGGATCTGGCGCTTGAAGTGGCATCCTTTTTCACGCCGTTACTTACTTGCCGCTTGCATGTACGGCGGCTTCAAGATCGTCGACTGCGGAAACGAGGAGTCGCCGGCAATTGTTAGCGAATACAACGAGCATGAAAGCATATCGTACGGTTGCGATTGGTCGTATTTGGCGAAGGAGAGTATATCCGTCTTAAATATACACGACTCCAAGGACGAAATTGGTGCTTTAGTAGGCACGTGTTCTTTCTACGATCACGTCTTCAAAATTTCTGCGATTTATTCGCAAGATAAGAATTGGCCTCTTTGATGCAAGTAAAACTCAATATACTTTATCGTGTACATAGAGATTTTATAGAAAATACAAGATACATTTAATAAAATAATTAAACAAAGATGATATTCAAGTCTCTTTAACTCAAATATATTTTTTAAATTGTGAAAATCATATTTGTTGATCTCACGCTGTAAATGTCCTCGTATAATCGCAATTTTCATTTAAGGTTTCGCGACGATATTGCTAAAAAATTATGTTAGTTAAATTATGTTAATGATTAATATACAACCATATACAAGTTCTATAAATCTATGCTAAATGTTTATAAATATAATTTACGATGTACAGCTTTGACACTATAGCAAGGGAATATCAATTAAACTTATACAATGTTTAAAAATTCATAAAGAAATAATCATTTTTTGCACTTTGACGTATTAATATTTAGGACTCCTCATGTTAGGCATATGTTTGTAAACATATACATATGCATACGATAGACGCATATTAATGTACACTATTAAAAAAAGAATCATCACATTGCTTTTCTTCATATTGTTATTTATTTTTCGCATTTTTATATCTTGGTAAATACATAAAAAATGTTTAAAAATGTTATAAAAGAAAGAAGAGAAATATTAAGTTTAAATATAGTTGCTATTACAATTACTTGTCATATAAGAAAAACGCAAAGTTACATTGTAACTTCTGAGTTGTTTTTGATCCTGGATTAAATGCAAAAAGAAAGGATAATTTTTAATAATAGATAATTTTTCTTTATACTTCGGTTCTTTACACGTTAAATATAATAGAGAAATATTTTAAGAATCATAAGAAATATTTTATATATGTAGATTTGTTTCTAATTACATTATACGTGATTAATCTTTCTATGTCGTTAAACTCTATTCACAGACAAAAAAGGAAATTCAAGCTAATCTCTGTAATAATTTTAATAAAACTCGCATTATAATGAATTGATACCGCGGAAACTTAAAAAACATTAATTATTTGATTCGTGATTTCTTAACTAAAAAAAATATATTTTTGTATATTCAAATAATTGTTTTTTTTACGAATTGAAATGTGTAATATTTTTAAATTTTTTTTTCTTGTAGACAAATATCGACAAAAAAAATGTTAGAACATTAATTTTTTTAATTTATTTTCAGAAAATTTATAAATTTTTATGAAATTTATGTTTTTACATTAGAAAATTTATGTTAATTTCTATGTAATTTATGTTTTCTATGAAATTCACGTTTATCTTTATATATACAGTATAATGAAATACCCCGAATAACATAATGTCTAAAATCGGGACATAAGATGTCTTACCCCTTGTCCACAACCTTGCTTTAATTCTTAAGTCGTAAGAAATTGACTAACCACAATTCATTATTTTTAAAATAATCGACTGTGTTTGGTCAATTTATTATGGCTTAAAGATCAAAGCAAGGTTATGGACAAAGGGTTAAAGATAACCTTTAAGACGCCTTAAAGACACTTATATGTAAATCGTCTGAAAGACATCTTAAAAATGATCTTTAAGACGTCTTATGTCCCGATTTTAGACATTATATTGTCTAGGACTTAAGTGAAAATTTGCGATTATTTCTTTACACAATTATATTCTACATAATGAAAAATATATCCATAATGTTTCATAAATTTTTATGAGCACTTGCGGAATTTAATAAGCAGGAACGAAAACGACCTTGCTAGTGTGCCAGATTAAATGCCAAAGAGATGTATGGCACGAAAGTTAACCGGTAAGAAAATTGATCAATCGCAATTGATTATTCTTTGACTACGAGAAAAACAATCAATTATAGTTGGTCAAATCGCTTGCCGTTCAAATTTCATAGCTTATGCTTTTTCTCAGTGCGTTCCCAGCCGTAATTTTTTCTATCGTAACGTTCCGCCGATGTTTCGAGGCGCCAGCCGTGAGATGGCAGGTCGAGCGCGGCGCGAGTCGCATTTCACCGCGGACGGTTCGATAAAAATCAGTCGTCGTTGCTCGGCTGCTTCGAAGGGAGCTGTTCGGCCGTTTTCATCGTGTTCGGTGTTTGCGGGCTGCACCGTGACACGATCGTGACTTCAGTGAGCAACTCGTGCGGATCAGCGTCACGGTGAATCTGGAGTGACGGTGAGTAGATCGAGTTGAGCGTAACGTTCCGGATCTTCCGCACCCTGGACGACGAAAATGAGTAGGAGGAGGAGATGGTGGAGGTGGAGGAGGAGGAGGCGGTGGCGGCGGCGGTTCATGCGTTTCCTCAGCGAACTAGGACGTGCCAGGATCAGCTGGTGGCTGCGCGATGCGACGCGGCGTCGCGCGGTCCTGTCGCCGTGGATGACCCAGAAGCGATTTGGCGCGTGTCCTGACCGAAAAAGAGAGACCATCGCGATCCCAAAAGACTGTGACCGGTGTCGTAGCCGAGGTTAGACCGCGGCCAATGCATTTCCGCTGCTGTACGTTATTCGCGCGTGATCATTCGGCGTCTCCTCCGCCGAACGAGCCGACTTCTCTCTGGCTCTCTCAAGCGGAACAGCGCTATATGTCACAACCCTTTTTTGTCTCTCCGAAATAAAAAACATCGCCACGACATAATTACCTGAACACGCAGAGCTCCACTAGACTGGATCATGGTCGCGTGAGAAATTGTACTTTAGATCGACACAATTTTACGCGTCCAGACCGATCTGCGTGTACAGTTCAGCTGCTCGAGTCGCGTTATTTCTTTCCGCGTTGGAGGAAGAATCATAGGACGAGACAGAAGAGATACGGAATTCTTTGTATCGATGCCGAAACGCGCGATATTGCGTGCAGTTTAAAAAGCGTGCGGTCAGTTCTCTTTCAACGAACTTCCTGAACCGGTGTACACCAGTTCAGGAAATTCTTCAAAAAAAACAGATCTACTATTAGCGACTTGCACCAATGTTCCGTTCGATATTTCAATTGCCACTGTATTACCGTTAAAATCATCTCTGGTGTAAGTACGATGTAAATGAGTTACATCTTTAGGAGAAGACATCTGTATGATTATAAAGAGGGAGTTAAAATTCATTTCGCGATATGAAAGGGTTCAGAGCAGAGATACGATGTCGAAACGTTTCTCGACTAAACGTTTTGGAGCATGCATATATCGTTTTTCCACATCCCCTTCGAAGTGCAGGAATGCGGTCTTAATTGACGTAAATTCGCGTGCCGTTTCTGCTCATTTGGACGCTCGTCGTTTCGATAGTCTTCCGCCAAACGTGACGGTTTTACGTGTATGCCGTGCCTCCAATTTCCGACGTCGGTCACAGTTCTCCGCAAATTAAATAGCCGCGCTTCAGTACTGTACTTCGTATCGTTACCTCCTCGACAGATTCGTATTTTTGGGAAGGACGAGAGAACGAAACTTCACTTGTCATTTATCAGCGTCGGGGAAAATTTATTTTGTTCAAACGTGGGCGTATGAATTTCTGCATCAAAATGTGCGCGTGTGAATTCGTCCGAGTCCACGAGACCCCACAGTCTGGTGCTCCAGAGTTAATTTCCGCCATGAATGTGTGTATGTGTGTGTGTGAGAGTCTGTATACTGAGGCGAACCGCGCTGGACATGGCGATTTATTCTCGATTACCTTGTTACAACGCGATCTCCGCTCGACGATGACGGACTTAGCACGCGAAGCAGCTTCTCGTCCTCGTCGATGCGGGAGAAAGAGAGAAAGAGAGAGAAGAACGTGTCGGTGCCGCTTCGACAGGGGCGTTGTCCTCTCGTCGTCATCGGTTGCACGTCCGGCGATCGTCCTTCGCCCTGTGCATTCTTGAAATAGGAAAAAAAGTAAAACAAAAACAGGAAAGAATCCGACTGAGCGATGAGCGTGAATATGCGTGTTGCGTTGATGCTACATTCAGTCCCGTTGACGTTGATGATAACATCGATATATCGAAAGTTCGTAAAGATTAACGACCGCATCATTTCTAGCTACACGTTTTTCGTGACTGACGATTGATCGGGAGTGTGGCAACGTGTCGGAAGCAGAAATGACATTTTGACAGCTTAGAGTTTCGCGTATGTGTTAGTAAAGAGGGTCACCCGCTCACACGCGACGCGCAATCGGCAGAAGAAAAATAAAGATGTTAAGAAGAAAATTAAGATATTAAGAATGAAATTAAGATGTTAAGATGAAAAATAAAGATGTTAAGAATAAAATTCAGAGGTTATTATATAAATATAATTAATTAGAGATATGTATAATTTTGTGATAATCATACAAATTATATGAATAGATTTTAATTTACAATCACGATTTTAATTTACAATCAGTTGTAATTGCTACGTAATTACACAGAAATTTTCCCTATAACTACATGTTCGTACGCAACAGAGAAATTAAAATTAGTTCATATAATAATTTATATAATTATTACAAAATTATATATACCTCTATTTATACACGCATATCTTTATAATTATATTTTATATAATAACCTTTTAATTTTGTCCTTCTTAACATTCTTACTTTTCTTTTACTGATTGCGCATTGTACATGAGCTGGCAATCTTCTTTACTGATACATATTAAACCTTAAACTACTAAAATATCACTTTTGCTTTGAACATGTTCTTACACTCCCGATTAATGAAGAGTCGTAGAAATTAATGTCTTTCTTCCTTCTTAAGAGGTAACATCGCTCTAGCGTCCAAAAATTAAGCATATTTTTGGAGAATCTTTGTGAGCAAACAAAGAAATGAATCAAAAATCCGTTTGGAAAGTTTTATTATACATTATATATATTGTTTTAAAATGTATATTCAAATTTTTATGTTAACATATATTACAAAATAGTGACGCTAAAGCCTTGTCAATGTAAGCGAAACGGGGCTTGCAGCATAAGTGTCGCAAATGTTGATCTAGACAAAAAACAAAAAACCAAAATTTTCTGTCATCTGCATGCCAATAGCTAGAGAAGTACGTGCGGAATTTTTGATATATTGAAAATTACGTATTTTATAAACAATTTTCAACGAAATTTTTAGCGTATAAAATGAAATTTTTTCTTCAAATACGCGCGCATGCCATTTCTATAAAAATAAATATTTAAAAAATTCTCTACGTAATTCTCTCTAGCTATTGACATGTAGATGACGGAAAATTTTGTTTTTTTTGCTCTAGATCAATATTTGCGATACTTATGCTGCAAGTCCCGGAGCCCCGTTCCGAAAAACGCTTATGTTGACAAAGCTCTAGCGCCGTCATTTTGTAATATATGTTAACATAAAATTTTGAATATACATTTTAAAACATGCACAATAAATCCTTCCAAACGGATTTTCGACTTATTTCTTTGTTTACCCACAAAAAAATTTCCAAAAATACGCTTAATTTTCAGACGCTAGAGAAGAGAAGAAAGAAGAAGAGAGTGGTGTTATTCCTTAATATTAATGAAACTGGAACTACAGCTCTTTTTCGCCCAAAAGACTAATGCAGCCTGTCGAAAATTTTTATGAATTTTCGATATCTCGATCTCATGGTCAGCAAACTGAGTGTAGTACACGCAGCTTTATAAATGTCGGTCTATAATAAAATTATTTAAACATTAAATCTTAAAAATTGTCCAATTGCAGTAAAATGTGAGAAGACTATACAATCGATTATGATTAGTCAATTTTTAAAACTTAAAATTTAAATCACCTAATTGTAGACCAAGATTTAATGCCCGAACACACACATTTACTAAGGCTGTGTTCCAATATTCACTGCCAGTACCGAAAATCTGTAGTTAATGTTACTATAGATTTAGTATATGTATACTATAGATTTTCAGTACTGGCGGTGAATATCGTGAACACAACTTAGATTTAGAATTATTAGATATTTTTTACTAACTGTTCCTTTTTACGTATGCATTCATCGTGACTGTAGAGTATTCCTGATATACTTACTCTTCAAATTTTCTTGCTCTTGTTTTTGTAACGGTTCTTGGATGATTTACCTACTATTCAGTGCCAACATCCAGGTTTTCTAAATATATTTTCATTGTATTATCATATTATCACTCATATCATTTTCTTCTTGATTATTCATAATGTATGAGCGGACAAAACACGTTATCTTACGCAAAATAAATATTAAACCATCAAATTATAACGGCTGCTTTCGAGTATCGTTCCCGATTCTTCGGATACTCGAAATCTAATCTTCAATCCGCAATCTCCAATTTCTAATCTAATACGGGCTTTAGCGATCCTGGCTGCTGATCAATCTCTCGTTTACGCGTGAAAACGAATTATTGGTGTCGTGCGTGAAAAGTAGCGTAAGGCGACACAGGACGTAGGACCAAGGGGAGACACGAGGTCGGCTCGTTCGATCGCGCGTTTCTCTTCGTGCTTTCAGCCGCATACAGAAAGATTATTCGCGAGAGAATTGTCGCGATTAATCTAAATGCATGCATATCACTCTTAACCGCGTAGTACCTCCAAATTCGAGATACTAATTCCTAAATGGAAAATGGACATTTTGAGTTGCTCGCTTCTGATATATTAGCACGGGATACAGGATGCATAAAATAATAATAAATATAGTAATTCGATTGAAGGTACAATTCTTTTGTTTAAAAGGTACAAAGCTTCTCGTACATATCTCTGATATACGTAGGTACGAGCATGGACGTAGTATAAATGGACCCTGCATACGGCCAGAAAAGTGAAGCCAACATGTAGAAAGAGACCATAGACATAATATACATAGATTCCGCATACAGTTAGAAAAGAGAAGCCAATATGTACAGCCCCTCTGTTCTCTGTCTCTTTCTCCACAGACAAAGTGTGTAATAAGATTTAAGTAAGACTTTTACTTGCCAGTCTAGTCGGGGTGTTGTTGCGCTCTATAATATTATGGAAACGAGAAATGGATGCACGCGCAATAAAAAAGTGACAAAATAGGAAGAAAACTATAGCCTCTCTATTCTCGCTCTCTTTCTAGATGTTGGCTTCACTCTATCAGACGACAGAACATAGGGCATTCGGAGTCCATGTATACTATGTCCATGAGTATGAGATACCCGGCGTTACAAATGTACCGCCAACACGGTAGCGAGAGATCGTCATATAAGGATACATTATATAAGCATAGGTCGTCAGAACATCGTCGGAATCGT